CCTAGAACCGCCCCTGGTTTCATTGTGTGCAAAAAGGTTCAAATCCACATCTGTTGTCTCCTGCTAAGCTGATGTTCAATATGGAGGAATCGTCCCCACCACTTGTTCTAACAAATGGTCATCACGCCCAACATGAGCCTCTTTATGAGGAAGCAGGAGGGCGCAGTAATGAGGCATCTATAAGCAGTAACACACACACACACACACACACACACACACACACACACACACACACACACACACACACACACACACACACACACACACACACACACACACACACACACACACACACACACACACACACACACACACACGCAACGATGCTCACAGCGGATAAGATTCATTGTCTTTCCCTCCCCAAAAACCTCTTCCATATATCCGAAGCCCAGATCAGATATAGTTTCCACCAAAAAGCACCAACGCCCAGCTGTGCCAACTGGCATTGTTTCTATGTAACCGTCCACCTTTAAATCACTTTGACTCTCAAACAAGGTCGAGGAATGTTCTTTCAATCGACCTGCAATGGCTTTAGTTGGGTGCATTACCATTTAAAATCAAAATTAGGATAATATACGAAGCAATAAGGGCCTTTAATATATTTTCACAGCAGAGAGACAGGAGAATAGTGCTGTATCAGATTGTGTAATCAATTTGGAGTCATTTGAGTGACAGAAACCATTATCTAGCAAGTATTAGCCAAGTGGACGGGGGAGCAGCCATTATCTCATGCCACAGAAAGACAGACCACTGATTAAAGTTTTACAGGCCTGTGTAACTCAGCAGCTCAACCTAAGGCCCTTTCTGGCAAACCAAAATAAAAGCAGAGTTTGTGGAGTAAGAGAAGAACAATCATGTGAAGGGGGTGGAGAAAGGACTACATTGAGGGTCATGGAGCACACCTACTCACACAATTACAAATGAGTCACCAAATGAAATCCCATGCCTCATTCATCAGGAAAAAGCACCTCATTATCCTCCATGGCTATCATCTATCTATGTCACGTTAGGAGCATATGAGTTTGGTACAGAATTGCTGTGTCATGTCAGCCTCTTGTCTGCACCAGTGAAATAAAGGCAGGGAAATGCGTGGTGATGAAGAACTCGGTCTGCATCTTAATAATGGTTTCTTTTGAGAAAGATTACATTGGGTTTTAGTGTTTGAACAGCAGGTTGGATATCATTCTGTATTTCCACATGGCCTACGTGATGTTGCCGTGTGTTCCGCCTGCTTCCATTGCAGGGAGTGGAAGCAGCAGAGTGGAAGGCATATTAGAAAGCAGGGGATATTGATTGTGGCTGGGGACGGTCTGCGCTTTGCATAGCAAATGGCCTCCATTACCATACCATCGCTGGATAATTAATGTGCAGTCAGTTGGGCTGCCATTCGTTATCGGTCATTTTGATACTGTTACATTTTCATCTCAGCCCGTGCTTCTCTTAGGAGCAGGGCTCTTCCTTTAACCCCCCCCCCCCTATTCTGATCCCCCCTATCTGATCCCCCCTCCCTCTCCATGTTCTGTTTTATGAATCACATAGGAACCTTGGTCAGCGAGTGTCTGCCACTATCTCCCCCGAAGAGAGATGTTATCGTGACGCAACTGTCTTTTGCGTCCTCTCATTGTTCCGACATTAGCCAGACACATAGGCCACGGAAAGCTTTGGAAATTAACATTTGTGTGGCATTTAAGTCGCATAATATACCTGCTGTGAGTCGTGTGGCATTAAAGGCGTAATATGACCCAGCTGTAAATAAGCATGCTTTAATTGGTTGGCCTAATCTGATATGTTCCTTGTGGGGGGAATTTATCTAACCTAACTTAATGTGAACATTGTTGCAGTCAGGGAAATGATGAGAGGAACAATCAAGAGTTGATGAAAGCATGAAATTAGACGCTGGAAATGCCACTGCAACTCTCTATGTTTAAGAGCATACATCGAGCACATCCAGTTAACTGTATGACAATTACTACTGATGCCATGCTGCAGTCTTGGCACTACGACGATTAGCCATATTAGTCTTTTAGTCTTTCTGTGGTTTTAGTAAACATCAATCCAAATGGTAGGTCATAAGTGTCACAAACAAGGGTACAATGTTTTTCGTGTTCCCTACAGAATGAATCCTCTCTAAAGGCAGAGGCCTCTGTTTTGTAGCTTCCTCTCCAGAGTGCTTGCGCAGGTTTAAAAATAGGCAGCTTTACCCCAAGCTGCATCGCAGGGATGAGATTTGCGGTCCTAACAGGCCGTGCAGATTGCCATTACTTATGCCTGACAAGCCTACCCTCTGATGTTTCCATGCTGGCCTATTTTAACAACATAAGCTGCTGCTGCCGCTCCCGCTGCTACCGAGATGCGAATTTCCAAATTGGCTGAAAAAAGCTTGTCCTGGGGTTATGGTGAGGTTCCCAGAATGCATGTGGGCTGTCTTCAGTACAGGATAGATGAGAATACAGAGCAAAACATTTTACCTGAGCTTGTTAAATGAGGTAAACATGTCTACAATTGTCTATTTTCCAATTGAGAAATAAGCACTCACCTTTATGGTAGAAAGGCTTCTTCATACCATCATGAAGCCGGGCTTTGCGCTCCACACCGTAGCCGTGCCGTGGCCCATGGTCGTCATGGCCGTACCTCGACCCGTCTCTCCTGGCAGCCTCGGCCGCCATTTTATCCCGCATTGCCTTGGCGCGTTCTGACTCTAGTGCAATGGCCTTCTCCAACAGAGACAGGTTACCCTTTGTCATGTCAAACACTTCTTCCGATCGGTCCGACGTCACAGAGGCCGTGTCCTCGTCAAAGTCCCGCAGGTTGGTGTGATATCGGTTCTCCTGCGCGCAACTGGCGAAGGCCTTGGAGCGTGGGCTCAGCTGCTCCTCCAGCTTCAACAGATTGTCCATGTCGGAATAGTTTCTTTCAAGCGACCGCCTGTCGTCTTGGTGGAAATTCCCGTAGTTGTGATGCTGGGCCGGTTGATTGGGATCTCCGCACGGAAAATGGTTTTGCCCGGGTGGTCCATTTCGGTCAGTGGACTTGGTTTCGCTAAGTTTCCGAGCCAAGTCAAAGCATTGGTTCCGTAGGCACTCCAGACTGCTTAAACAAACTTCCTCGTCGCTGTTTTCTATTTGTCCGTTACTGTTGATCTTAACTTGTCCGTTACCACCATTGTGCCCGTTGTGAGGATAAGCATTCTCCGTGCCGTCCTCAAACTCCTGACCCTCTAAATTGTCAGAAAGTACCGCGCCGTGACCTTGTGCTAGAAGTTTAAGCGAGTCCACCGTCTCCCGAACCACGTCACTGTCAACGTCCAAACTCAGATTCCCCCTCTGTGGTCCATCCCCTTCCTCTTCCTCCTCTTCCTCTTCTTCCTCCTCCTCTTCGTCCTCCTCCTCTTCCTCCTCTTCATCATCATCATCCTCTTCCTCAGCACTGTTCGAGGAGTTGCTGTTCAACTCAGATTCCGTCAAGGCTCGGTTGGCGGCGTCTTCTGCGATCTTGCCCAGGTTGAGGAGGGACTTGGCCACGAGTTCATCGTAGTTCTCGTACTCTTCGCCGTTGTCCTTCCCCCCTGGTGGGCCAGATCTGGCATCGCCGCCGCCACCTCGACGGACGCCCACCCCCTCGCCCCCCTCGCTGCTGCTCATCTGATCGTCCTCTGTTGGAAAGAAAGAACAAACCTCTTGTAATTTCATTTCCGTCATTGTATTTTACTGCTAAATCAGATTTCTGGGCTTGGTCCATCTAAATTGGATAAGGAACTCTTTGCTTCCCCTAATCATTTACTTTGAGCGTCTTAACAGCAGCTTGTGTTCTGAATTGTGAATCAGCACAGGAAGTTAAATATAGTGGCTGGGGAAAGTTCCAGAGAAAGATGCTCTGGTAAATGCTAATCTATGAAACCAGGGACTTTATCTACGGCCTGTCATATATTTGCCCTTATTTCCTGGAAGTCTTTGTGAAAATAAATCAAGTTTTTAGAGTAATAATATTAAAGAGGAATTCTGCAAATAGTTGCAAATGAGATAATATTGTATTCATTGTTCAGCTGTATCAAAACATTGTGAGAATATATTTGGATTACAGACAGCTTCTTTTTTTTTTTTTTTTTTACAGAAGATTTTAAAATATGTCGAAAATCTGATAGATAATATGATGTTCCATCTGCCACACGATGAACCCCAGTCAGTAGCTATTCATCGTTTGCGAGCAAAGTTCTTTTTTCATTCAATCATCGGTATCTTTAGAATTCCTTTCACTGCCTAATTGATTCTGACAGACTGCAAAAGGTTACTGAACCTCTTCTGTCAGTAATTTCAAGCACTCACTCCTGGAGCACTTCCAATCTCGCCTTTCACATTTCCGCCCTGAGCCACCAAGAGCACATCGCTCACGTCGGCGTCACATTTGCCACTTACACTCCTGAAGAGAGAATGAACCAAGACCCCCCGCCCCACCACAAACAGAAATAATAAACACAGCACAATATTAGCAACATTTACCAGCCAAACCAATGGTAGTGTATTGGCTGGCTGGAGAATTTTGAATTCTCACTAGACATTTGGCCAGTGGAATAAAAAGTAGGTTTATTTTCAACTGAGTTAGGTTAATGTATAAACAAACATATTTTAATTATATATGAATGGCCCATCTAAACAATGGGCTTTTTCTTTTTAAACGTAAACTTGATTTATTCAACAGAATGTTTAATGATGCATACAAATTAAGCCTGCATACTATGACAACATATACTGTACTGTACACACGGTGTACACACATACCAATCTAATGAGAGCAACACACTATCGGTGCTTGGGGGGTGAGGGCTTTGGAGCAAGAAGAGGAAGCAGTCACGAATGACCAGGCACACATTTTGACAGTGGAAGCTTCCTAACAGCAGCTTCCTGCACCAGGGGTTTAATTTGTGATGGTATGAAACATGGCACAGGAAAGCAATTTGAAGAGCAATCAAGGTACACAAAAGATATATGGAAGCGAAACAGATTAAGTAGAGAACAGAGGGACTGCCCTGCCCTGAATTGGCTCTGGATTGGCTACAGAGATGTGCACGCCACTGAGAAACACAGAAGCTCCAGAGTGTCACCTCTATTACATTTGGGAGATTGGAATCTGCCCATCGACGGTAATGAAGCTTACAGAAATATTTTTTGTGACTTTCTCAGGGAAAATACTGTTCATTAAAGATATTGTTAAAGCCTCTGATTCCAATAAAGAAAATACCATGATTACCAGAAGTGGAATCTAATGAAGTACATTTACTCAATTCTTAGGTACAATTCTCTGTAATTTTATTTTAAACTGCTTTATACTCCACTCTATTTCAAAACCTAACATTTTACTTTTTACTCCACTTCATCCAATTGACAGCTTAAGTTACTAGTTACTTTACAATTCAGATTATGAACTGATACAACATATAACTAAACAAATATAGAAATGTTGACAAAATTTAAAGTTAAGATTTAAAAAAGCACTACTTGTAGTAACAGTGATAAAACCATTGTTGCATCGATAATCACAATCCAGTAATCTAATATATAAGAATATGAATTTGGCCATACGCACAGCGAGTACTTTTGATCCTTTAAATACATTGTTATGCCAATTCTTACAGTAAAATACCTTTGTACTCTTAAGTGAAATTTAGAATGCGCAATTCTGTTTGTAAAAGAGTATTTTTAAATATTTGTATCGCTACTTTTACTTGAGTAAAATATGATGAGAGGATGTTCTGGAAGATAATGAGCTGATGCTCGTGGTCAGAAGCACTGCTGACAGTTCGGAGAGAGAGTGGCATCAGTCCACTGTCTCGGGGTTAGGCTGAGGCCTCGGCTGTGGGCTCTAATGAACACCAGTCTGTGGAGATTCACATTGTGCTGCTGAGATGCCACATCAACACTTTGGGTGGGTAGAGCTGCGCGCCAAGCAGGGTTAACACACTCCTCTGTCAGAGCTTCACTCTTAATTGGACTTGAAGGCACTGTCAGGTCTAATCGTGATGCGGGGGTGCAAGGCAGAGTCTGCTCCAGAGAAACCTGCCAGATCTGGTCTCAGGCACGTCGGGAGGCGCAGATAGTCCCAAAACTGCAGGGTGCTCTTGTATCATGTCTTCAGGGAAGGCATTATTAAAATCTTTGATTGTCAACATCTCTAAAATTCTTACGATTTGAATATGTATCAAGTGACAGACTACTGAAGGGTTCCTTGTTTATGAAAATGACTACTTTCTGGTTAGTCTTTCTGTTGATCATGTCCCAGTTTTAGCTCTCATGTCTCTATTGTTTCTGATAGAGGTCTTCAGGAGAAAGACTAAAGCACTTCACATAATTACAAAAGAGCATCCTGATTATTTTTGCCTCAGTTTAGATAATTTCTTTAATTAAAGTGCTAAACATTTTAAAGAGCTTCATAAAAACAAAATCAGGAAAGAAGACAATTGGGTGCTACTCCACATCTCCTGCATTGTTCTGGTGGGGGCAGACTGCAGCTGTACAGTGAAGGCTTTGAACAGTATGTGAGTAAAATGTGCAGATGAATGAATAATTAAAAAATAACCAACCACTGTGAGAATAATACATTGTATTGCTAAAGCCATGCTTTATTCACTGTATGTTGTTTCTGGTCTTTCATCTCTTTCCAGTAAAAAACACAATCAGAGTTTGAACATCATGTCCAACTGCCCCAAGTCAGCCTGACAAATATGGAAATATAAACCACTGATATGCAAATGCAGCACTTTAAATGGATAGAAAAAGATTGGGGGTTTGAGTCACGTTGTCCGCTAAAATTAAAAAGTTTGCAGTAAACTCTTCAGCGACATATTACATTTTTGTCCATATAATGTGAAAACCAGTTGTTGAAATGGGCAGGAGGAGAGCTAGCTAACGTTAGCTGTTGTTAGCACATTTTTAATGGGTTACATTATTATGAGTTAAAGCTGTATACATTAAAACTTATAGTTTTGAGCGGCCGTTTATTATCATCACATGTTCAAATGTAAGCTTCTCATTTGTTTTAGAAACTTTAAAAAATACAGTTGTTTAAATTGTTGGAATGTTTGCGCAGCAGTATAACATATTTATAGTAGGGATGGAATTATGATCTGTAGAGAATCGTATCATTTCGATAGTATTGGTACTATGTAGTACGACCTACATTTCTGGTATTGTGACATCCCTAATAAGACCTGTTTTCCTTTAAAGAAATACAACATGTTATAGTGCATTAGCTGCATTGCTAACACCTTTCCAAAGTGCTTTTGTTAATACGAAGAGATCTCACCTTGCCCTTGATTCTGCTCCCCTTCCTCCTCCTCCTCCTCCTCCTCCTCTCCATCGTCATAGTCCACCTCATCTACTGCATCCTCCTCTTCTTCCTCTTCCTCTGCCTCCTCCACCCTCTCTTCATCAGCCTCTTCCTCCTCTTCTTGCTCCACCTCTACTTCCTCCTCTTCCTCCTCCTCCTCCTCCTCCTCGTCCTCAGCCTCTCCATCTCCATCCCCTCTCTCCACCTCCCCTTCTTCGGGCTCCATTTGCTCCTCGTTGTAGTCCACGTAGCCTTCCACCTCTTCTTCTTCGTGCACTTCACCCTCTTCCTCCTCCTCCTCTACCGCTCCTTCCTCCTCCTCTTCCTCCCTGTCGTCCATCTCCTCGGTTCCGTCTGTCTCATAGCACTCCTCCATGGTGGAGTTGTCCATGTCATCTAGGTAGGTGCTCCTCTTGGGGGACGTTTCCAGGGTTTGTCTGTCTAGGCTCTTTCTCTTCTTGGCCTGGGGGCAGCCGTACACACTGCGGAGGGGAGATAAGAGTGCAGCTATTAGCGGTTAGCCTTACATGCTAATGCTCATGTGCATTAAGGCCTCTGTGTTAAGTTACTGTGGTTTACAATCCACAATCCAATACACCAATGGAACAATGGGCCTCTTACTGCAAGGAAAGCAGCCTGTTATTCTTCTTCTGGGGAAAATATGACACTTTGCTTAAGGAATCTTAATTAGACATGTACTCATTAACTACTGGGCAATTCTAATAAAACGCTCCATTTCTTCTAGAAAACAGTTTACAAAAGAGATAAAATCTTGATATTTAAAGCAAACAAGGCGGAAGATTCAGTTTATTTTCACATTAATTTGTATTCAGGTAACATCAATTTGTTCTTCAAGCAAAAGAAAACCACAGTGCATGCTCCGCAAACACTTTGTTCCAGAGCGATATGCAGCGCACCAAAACATGACTACATGTCTGGAAGTGAATGTAAGGGGGGGGGAGACAACCTGTAGCCTGATTAATTGAATCTTGCCAAGGCACCTTAGGTTTTAATGTATTCTCCGGCTCCCCTCGGCAGCAAGGGGACAGATCCTAATCTGATAATCTGATAATCTGTGTATTCGCTCAGGCTATTGATCAAAGGGGCTAAATCCATTTCACTCATCAAACCTCAGAGAGCCCCGAGCTGCTACCTGGCCCCCCATGTGAGTGACTTTAGAATGTGTGTTGCTGTGTGTACATTCATGTATGAGTGTGTGTGCGCACATTTGGCACATTCCAACAAAAGCACCCTCACAGTTAGAATGATGACGAGTTATGCGAAGTGTTTCGGCCATAAAGCCTGTGTCCGGGCTGGAGTGTCAGAGAGCTAAACACGCTTTGGGCATGTTCACTCGGCTGTGAAATATCCCTGGCTCCTATGTTTACAACCTCTGGATGTTTCCCCGGCTCTGCGCTGCTTAAGAGTGAGACCTGATGTGAGTGAATGGCACAAGGCTCCGGGTGAGACTGAAAAATGGTAGTTAGCCAATGTGTGCTGCTTTTGGCACGGACTCGCTACAGAAAAGGCTTATCGCACGGTGAGGTGGTATCGCGGTCTTAGAAACCCATTACTGTTCCCAGTTTTTAATGTCAGTGTGTCCAGCAGTCCAATATCCTATCCATCCTTCTCTGCCCGCCCCCGCTCCCTCTCTCCTCCGTCCCTGACGTCCATCAGTCAGTCAGGGTACAGTCAGCTGGCAGGCTCAATCTCGCCCGGGTCCCGGGATTCCTTAATGGTCTGACCCCCTGCACCCCCCGCAACCTGGGGCCTCATTTCATTAATCTAAGCCCACATGGAAACTCATTCCCTGCCTGACAGCCGGACCTCTCCCCCAAGGCAGCGTGAGGGTCTGCGGGATGGTGAGGGAGGGTGTGTGTGTGTGTGCTGCGGCACTGTGATCAATAGTGCTTGTGACCAAACATCTCAAAAGCACATTAAAATGCCACTCATCCTGGCCCCTGCGTTCCAGCGCCCTCTCCAAATAAATCAAGGGCCGGTCCCAGCAGGTTAGCGGCTGCCAAGGCAGGCGGGCTGGCAGGAGGATAGGTGAGTGGGGGGGAGGAGGAGGGGGAGCGTGGAGGGAAAGAGGGAGAAATGTGGGAATGGCACATAGACACTCTCCTTCTCAGTCTCCTGGTCCTGCCTCTCCATCTTTATCCTAGGATGCATGTGCTGTCAGTCGTTGCAGCAAAACTCAGAGGCTGACAGGGATTCATTCATGTGACTACACCTGAATCACTCTTTAAATATAGCTGGAGCTAATGGAAAGCTTATAATAAATATAGGGCTGTGTATTTGCTCACTGTATTTTTTAAAAGGCGTCAAGTGCACTTGAATATTTCGGGTCCAGATTGCACAAACAAAGAGGTCTTTTGAGAGCATGCATAATAACCTGACTCTGCTAAAAGTCCCACCTACAGGAACACACATTTGGCTCCGGTTTAAATGCGACTGCAGAGCCTCTTATATAAATGTTTTGTAATCACGCTCATGCTAAGAGGCGTTGTCAGGTTGTTGTGACACCGTGAGAGGTGTGTTTGCCCCGACGCTCCTCAGCCCCACGATGACTCAGCCACAGGAAGCCTCCACAGCTCCGCCATCCCACGTTCCCTGGCTGTGTCGCCGTGTGACCTTGGCTGTGTCGCCGTGTGACCTTGGCTGCAGCGTTTGTGATCACAGGCAATGCGTCCCACGCGCTGCACTTGGCAATTTAAATTCCAGAAATAATCAGGTGGCCTTAAAAAATTTAAAAGCAAATACCGGCATTCTGCTGGTATTGTGCAGGGAAAGACGAGAACACACACCCATCTAAGCTTCCCTTTGCTTTGTCCTCTGGCAGAATCACATAAAAGAGGAGGGTGCCCTACGAGAGGTAGCAATCAAAGAAGAAAGGAGCTTCAGATCACAAAGAGGAACACTTCAAATGTCATGTAGTAGGCATCCTCACTATTATGAGATGGAACAAATGATATGAGGGCGTGAACAAGTGGCCCTTGTATGCAGGAGAAAACCCTCTGTTAATGTTTCAGAGAGGGCCCTATTTTCTGGAGCATTAGTGTGAGGTGGGAGCGGCAGGAGAGGCAGAGCTCCCGTTTGGGCGACAGTTGAGCGACTGCTGGAATGCGACGGCGTTCCACGGCGCCTTTATTAGCAGTCACATTAGCGGCTGTTCTCAGCGGGGGCAAAAGCTTTAGCCGGTCATTAGCATCACACGCTATTTGTCTCCCTGACACAGGGAGGAGGCTGCCTCTCCCCCTGCCTCCTCTCACGGCTGCTTTTCTCTCCTCTCCCCCTCGTCATCTCTTCCTGTCACCCACACTCTCACCTCATATTTCTCTGTGTCTGTTCTCACCCATCATAACTTCGCCTGCTCTCTTTCCTTCCATACATCCACTTTCTACCACCTCCTCCACACACTGTATACCTCAGAGTATGTTTCTCTCCACCTGCACCCTGTTTCCCATTTCCTCCTATCTCTCCCCCCTGAACCCGAGCTCATTGTTGACGCTCCTTCACTCTCCACAGAGCACACTAGAGATGGAGGGAATGCACCACCTCTGGCTGTGCCCCCTATCCAGCGGGAGGATCTATAGACACGTGTGGCAGAGCCCCGTCTCCATGGTGATACCCTCCAGAAATCCATGAGGGATTCACCATCTTCACAGCAAGCCAGTGAGGAGAAATGAGAGAGAAAGACAGACAGGGAGAGAAGATGAGCAGAGGGGAGGATACATAGAGGCTATAGGAGCGAGACAGACAGAGGAATGTATGTTTTTATGTGCATGTGCGTGTAGCTCTTATGTGTGCACGCAATATGTGGGGGATATACGGTGGAGCAGTTGAAAAGAAAGAAGAGGGATGTGTGAAAGGGGAGAGGATCATTTCAGAGCTGTCAGGCTTCTCCCGCTAGCTAGGGGAGAACAAAAGAGCCAGTCTTGGTGCAGGAGGCTCAGCGCATGGCAGACGCTGCAATTTGGGCGTTTTCTGTCGTCTCTCGCTCACATATCAGATGCTTTGGCTCACGCACACACACAGCAGCTCGTCCTTAAACTCATAAAATATTACTTCATAGCTGCGGTGTCACTGAAACATGTATGATGTTTTTGTGAATGTGCTGAATTTACATGTCCACTTGGATTTACACCAAAGTCTTATTAATACGAGATGTTGGCGTATTATCTTTTCTCGTGTGGATGCATATTTCAACAAAGCAGTAACATCCTACTTTTCTTGGTACCACGACGGTTTATATGTTTTTAAGACGGCTAGGCATCTGTCCCCGACAGCCCTGCTGTTCGGCTCACTGGTTTCGATAAGCCTGTTGTTGCCCATTCACTGCTCCGGCTTTAGAATTTTTAGCCTGCAGCTAACAAAACCCAGTCTCAACTTTAGTCAAATACTCCCACTAAGCCCCTCTGCCCGGACAGGACTGAGATACAGCACAGACTCTAGTGGACATCTCAAATGCAGCTAACAAACATCTCGCTACATTTGATCCTGCAGAGTCCATCCAAGGCGTGAGCGGCTCCTCTTCAGCTGCTTTTATTCATATCTGCCAACTACTATTCACAGGTGGTGTGTGCGCCTCACTGACACTGTCCCATCGAGGAGTGGTGGAGTACTTGGTGGAGGATGTGGGAATGAAGCTGAGACCATTAAAGATGGGATAAGACAAATCAGGGCAGTTCAGATAGAGGGCTGGGCACATGATAGTCAAAGATTTGGAAATGTGGGTTGGAGCTTAAAGGATAAGTTGATCAGACGTTTAAAAGAACACTAATCGGGAACTGATTTAATGAGTGATTTAATGTTTGAGGGATTTTAAGCAAAATGTCAACCATTTGCTTCTAAGTATTGAATCTGAAGATGACTCGATAATAAAACAGATGGTCAGAATACCTATCAGTTGTCGTGTTATCTGAACTCATTTGTACAAATTGGGTGAACGCAGGTGTAAACAGTACTTTAGGTAACCATTAAGTCATGGTAACGGCTAATTACGTGAATTGATCTATTTTGATTTAATATGCCAAATAATTAAGCAGACTCCTAGAATTGTTCCGACTCCTAGAACTGAACACTTTTTTGTGATGGATCATGCAGAATATTGAGATGTGTATCATACAAGCCATCTTACATCATTTGGTGGTGGAGGTCCTGAGCAGGAGAGCTCACTCGGCGGCAGGGATGTAATGTGGCTATCTGTCATGCTGCAGCTAAATTCACTCCTGGATTAGCCAGGTAAGGAGTCTCTCCACCAGCGTAATGACTTCAATCAATCACCCCGACCCAGAGACTTAGAGAGAGATGCCAGCTAGTTAGCTGCTAGCCCAGCAGCCATTTTGGAGAAGAAATGCTTTCCTCCAGCGTGTCCATTTGTCTATGTAAGCCACAGCGTTGGCTGTCATGATAATCGTTTGTTTAGATGAACTGACAAGAACGAGTTAGTGTGAGTGAATAGAATAACAGGGGAAAATTA